TTTGGAACAATGGCACACAAAAGAAACTTAAAAATGTGAAATGCCAATTTAGAAAGTTAAAGAAATATAATTACAGAGAAGGAAGTCTTTCCTAATTTAAAATTTTAAAATTTAATGAAATGATAAAAATGCCTTTGTCTTTTTTTTAAAAAAAACCTCAACTTCTCACCGGTGGTCGGCGACCGGCCAATGCAGGCGACTGGCCTCTGGCCACTAGCGCCAGCCACCACTGTGGTGGCTGTCGGTGAAGTTTTTTTGTGACAGTATTTTTTTTGGAATAAAATAATATTAGTTCAAAGTAATGTGGTGTAATTTGATCCCACAACCCTTGGCTACTTGAGCCAACAAAAGGGAAGATAGTTATTGAACCATCAAAGATTTTTTAACCTTATAATGCAAACAAAAATATAAGTTGACTCTTTTACTGTGATTCCAACCTGTAACAACAATTTACCTGAAGATGACAAATCTTAATTGAGAAATAACAAGTTTAAATTTGATATTAATAAAACAACTTTTTCTTATACATAACAAATAGCAACATGTATATTAATTAAAAATGATCATAATTTATTTAAAAATGACACGTCTTTACTGAAAAATGATACGTCTAAACTTGATATTAATAAAACAACTTTTCTTTATACATAACAAGAAATAGTATATATATTAATTAAAAATAACTATAATTTATTTGAAAATGATACATCTTTACTGAAAAATAATAAATATTTACTAAAAATGACAATTATTTATTTAGGAATGTACGTGAGACAAGATGGAATTGCCGTGTGACACTGACACATGACATGACGCTTTCTCTCCCTTTCATATAAGAAGCCAAAAAAATCACAACCATTCATTTTATGATATTTGCACTTTTGACACGAAGCATGCTCGATTTCTTTTTTTGAGCAGAAGCGTGCTCGGTTTAAGTCCAGCCACTTGCTATTCCCGTCAATTTTATATATAAGTTTTAAACTTAGAAAAAAATACTATTTATTTTAGGAAAAAAACAGAAAAATAACAAATGAGTTTCATAATACTAAAATTTTTTGCTGAATTTAAGAAATTTCAATTTAGTTTCAAGAAATTAATTTGGCATTTATAAGTTTGCTGAAATGACTATATTACCTCTCATTTTATTTATTGTTTTTAAAATACCAAAGCCCCTATTAGCCGGCCGATTGCCGGAACTCCAGAAGAGGCAATCATCAGAGCTCTGGTGACCCGCCAACAGTTAGTCACCAGAGCTCCGCCTATTGAAAGCAATTTTTTTTTAAATTTTTTTACAATTTCAGTATAACAGTTAACTACTTTTGTAACACTATTAACAATTTTAGTATAGCAGTTAGCAATTCAACAAGTTTCGACAGCTGGAAACAATTTTTTTGAAAATTTTTACAATTTCAGTATAACAATTAACACCTTTTATAATGCTATTAACAACTTTAGTATAACAGTTAGCAATAGGTTTTTCAGGAAATTCAACAATTGGTCGTCGGAACTCCGGCGGCTGGAAACAATTTTTTTGAAAATTTCTACAATTTCAGTATAACGGTTAACAACTTTTATAACACTATTAACAATATTAATAAGAGTTAATAAAGTTTAAGTTGGAGATAAGTGTGGTGCTTCAAAATATGATTCGAGTGCTGTTGGAAATGACCAGGTAGCATGCACGTTAGGAAAAAAAATTTAAAATTATTCAAATATAACGATATAATATATCTTAATATCATGGGGGGAAAAAAAAATTTGTTACGCTGAGCTGTTTTCCAATTTCCACTAAAGTAATTTCAAAAGATGTTGGCTTTTATTATTCGAAGCTCCATTGACCCCAATCCCTTAATCATATGCATTACGCCAACAAAAGAAGGGGTTAAAAAAAAAAATCTCTATCCACACCCACTTTTTTCGCTTAAAATATCCTAAAAGTGTTTTTACGTGAACCAAAATAAAATTGCTTTTCACATATTTATCTCAGATATTGTAAAATTATTTCTAAAAGAACTAATCCAAATATTGTTTTTATATGAATTCTTGGTGTTGAAACAATACACTACGCGTTGGAAAACAATATTTAACGCCCTCACGAGTACTTCTTACGGGAATTTTTTGCAGCGACGTTCTGTTAATAATCTTAATAATAAATCGAATAAAATTTGACGAGAGAATATACATAATACTTATGAATTATAACCAATTGTTGTGTTATGGCTTTTAAATTAAAATATTGAGCTTATATAACTTGTTACTACTTCGTACTACCTCCAGTCTTTCTTTTATAATAAAAAAGATTTAACAAATTTCACATAGAGGGAAAAAAGTTAAAAAAAAATTTTTATTGAATATGTTCATATTTTTAAAAAATTATCCTTGCATAACAAAATTTACTAAACTAGGGTATTATTGTATTTCTCCCATAATTGAAGGTTCCATTTTTCAGTGAAATAAACAAGTAAATGGCACTTGAGGTGAAGAATATATTAATATTCAAAAATCAACACTAGGGCTGTTTATAGAACTGAGATAGGCCCATCCCGTTTCAATTTTTGTACTTTACAAATCATTGTAAGTCTAGGCTTGGACTTTTTTTTTTTTAATATTGCAATTGTTTTTTTATTAGACTTATAAAGATAAAAATACTAAAAGAAATACTATCTAGAAAGCCTAATTATATAACGAAAAAAGAACATAAAACAATACTATAAAGAAAAAGACTGATATAAAAGAAACATTATATAATGACTTTATGAATTTTTTATTGAAAAAGAAGATTTTGTTGAGATAATATTGCAACTTAAGAGTTAAAAATTACTATATTTATTTTTAAAAAGTGAACTAAATAATCCTATGATAATTATTAATAAGTAATTTTTTTTTCAAAAAAATCCCAGGACGAGATGCAATAAACTCATCCAACGTGTCGTGTCACGTCCCAATCATTGTTTTGTCTAGTCTTGTAATAGTCTCGTACCTCTGTTTGGATGGGAAGAAAAGTTGAAAGGAAAGAAAATGGAGAGAAGAGAAAATTGGAGAAAAAAATATTATCACCTCTCATATTTGGATGGAAAAGAGAAAACAGAAAGGAAAGAAAATAGGTAAATATATGAATGACTAAAATATCCTTTCTGTTATATCAAAATATATCATGATTAAAATCAAATCAAATATCATAATGAAAAACCATATTTACATTAACATAATCATATAATTTAAAATCAAATTATTTGATAAAGATACATTATCATGTTATTATATTTTAATATCAAATATTTTTGTTAAAAAAATAACATTTTGTGTAATATAATGCTAAAAAAACCAAAACAACAACTCTACTTGTTTTTCCTTTCGGTTCATTTTAAAAGGATTTTTGTAATTTTAGCTATTTTATTTTTTAATCAAGCAAACACAGAAGAAAGACTTGATAATAATAAATAAAGTGAAAAAAATAAATAGGTATTATTTTCCTGAAAAAACATATGTAAAGATAGAGAGAAAAAAATATTTTTTCTTCTCATTTTCTTTCCATATGTGAAGAGAAAAGTTGAGAGGAAAATGGGCTATAAGATTCATCTCATTTTCTTTCTAACTTTTTTTTCCTCCCACTTTTCTTCTCTCATCCAAATAGGAAAAAAACCACTTCATAAATTTTCTTCTTTTCTCATTTTCTCTCCATCCAAACATAATAGTAAAGTTTTCTATATCCCGTCTCGTCCCCTTCCGAATTGACCGGCATCAGAATGGGATAGCCAGAATAAGACAAGTTGAACCCCCCCTAATGAATATCCTTAATATCCGGATTTGGATGGGGGAAAAATGATGACCTGGATTCCATGACACGCTGATGTCGACACATCACCTGGATTTCATTAATTAAATCAATTTTGCTCCCTTCGCTCCTTTTTTATACGAGATCCTTTTACATAAATTAGGCTGTTTTAAAAAACAATTAAAATTATTTAAATTTAATATAATAAATATGTAAAAATTAAATATTTTTTAAACTATATATGAGAAAAAGTTGATGAGAGAGAATAAAACATCTTATAAGATAGACCAAAATTTTTTCCTAAAATACTTCTCATAATACGGACCAAAGCGAGTACAAGAGAAAGTTAAAAAAAGAATAAAAAATTAATATAAAAAAACATTTAATATTGAGACATTCTGACTGTGATCTTATAAAAAGAATTAAATCAATTGAAAATTTGGAATCTTATAAAAAGGATGGGAGGGAGTATTTTTTATGCATCTATCTGACCGGGTCAGATTACCCATACTTATAAATGCAAAATACTTTCCCTTCGAGTCAATTTTGTTAAAGAAAAACAAGTTTCGAACTTGCCAAAGTAAAAAAGACAGAATAACTTCATAATTGGATTATTTATTATAGCAGTGGACTGTGGACATAGATTACATAATATCCATGCCGAGCCAGACAATTACAGCACAACAAGCTAAAGCAGTGCGCACACAACAAATTAAAGGTACATATAGAGCATAAAAGACACACATGATTTATTCATTATTATGTTATAGATACAGACAAGAGAAAGCAAAGTAGCTAGCTTATCGATATATCCATGATCATGGAGTCGTTTTGGTTTTCAGAAGTGGGGACCTAATCACGCCGCCGTTCACGTTGTCCGATGATGCATGGTGATAATGGATCCCATGGCAGCATTTGTAGCTAACTGTTTCAACTTCCATAATCTTCTTCTTGCAAGATGGCTCAGGGCAAGTGATCATGAAAGGAACTCCTGATCGTATATTGCTTAATTGGGAGTGGAAACAAGGAAGAGGAGCACTAGCCTTCTTTTGATTGTAATACTTTATAAATGCATTATCAAAGCCTTGAAGCACTTGAACATTCACTCTCCATTCATCAAAGTCCTCGAGAACACTAGTTATTAGGGGATCAAACCCTAAAACCAGCATGTTGTTCCCTTTGCTGAGGAGAGCCCAAGTTTCCTCGTTCTTGTATGACAGTAAAGTTAAGTTTCGATGTGTTTAAGAATAGTGTCTCGTTCATAGTTCTTATTTTGAACTCGGGTTAACATCGAGTTGGTGATGTTGTCCCAGAAATTGGTTGCAGAGGTTTGATCAAGCTTTGAGAGGTTGAAATGCTCGATTATGGCGTCTGCTTGCTTGATGATGGGGTCCTTCTTAATGGAGTCTAACCGTGTACCAATCCTCTGGGTCCCAGCAACATCAGTCCCTCCATAAATGAAGATGTACGTGTCCCCTTGAATCTGCATATCATAATATTTGCATGGTGAGTTAGGCTTTTAGAAAAGACACATTTTTTTCTCTCAATAGTATCAAATAGAGGACCAACCCATTTTCCAATTTTTGGAGAAACTTTGGTGGCTTCGTTCCAAAACCAGTTCCAGTGAAGGAAGAGTCTTTCTTCATCCTCAGCTCGAAATGGGAAGGCTTCCATCTTCCAAGCAAACATCATGTGCATTGCATTTTTGTGAATCACTTCACCTCCAGGGTTCGTGACAACAACGATAGGCTTTCCCTGGTAATGCCATTTCTCTCCTAATACCATCTTGCCTTTAATCACGAACAGGTCCTGGAAGACGTACCATGGCATGTTTGATTTTAGATGTTTGAACTTCTCTTTCTGATCATCAGTTATCTTAGTTTCCTCCACCACAGGAACCCATAGAATTTCAGAATTTTGTTTCTCTTTATTTTTTCTGAATGCATCATGGATAGATTTTAAAATCCAAACCTCGTCTTCGATGTTGTCCAGACCGGAGATGAACAGTAAAAGGTTCTTCGTCTTCACAACGTCTTTGCTTACCTGAAATTTGGCCACAAAAAAGCACATACCCTTTAAAATCTTCAAATGAATTGGGACTACTATTGAAATTAAATCTTACTTCTAGCTTTATTTACTTAGTACCTCCGGTAATTAATACTACCTCCGATCCTAATTATAAGAGCTAGTTGACTAATTTGAAAAGATTAAGGAAAGAACTTAAGTTAGTTATTTATAATAAAGAGGTGATATCTTTCCTAAAATATCTTTACTAATCAAGTATATTGGTTAGAATTACTATTGTTAGAAAGACTACCTTGGAAAAAAATACATAAATATGAGAGATAAAATATATTAGAGTCTTATATTTAGGATCAAAATAAAAATCAAATAAGGTCTTATATTAAGGACTGGAGGTAGTATAAAAGCTAGTTTGAGTATCAATTTTATTCTAAATATAAGATTCCAATTCACTTTATCTTTCATATTTATTTGTAGTAGTTACACATATTATAGATTCCATCAAATGGTAGTTTTAGTTAATATACATGATTAGTAAAGGTATTCTAAGAAAGATAACACATTTATTATAAATAACTAACTTAACAAACTTCTTTAATATACTAAAATTAGTCAACTAGCTCTTATATTAAAGGCTGGAGGTAGCATTTTATAATGGAAATGTTTTAATTATTTTCTTCCTAAACGATTTATATAATTGAGTTTAAAAATTCTGAGAACTGACCACTCTTGAGCAGTGTTGTCGAAGATTCCCAGATCAATAATTTCCAAGGAGAAGATGAGAGCCTTTAAAAGATCCACAATTCCAGAAGGAAACAGAAGCGCCTGCTCTCATGATATTTTCTCTTTTGCATCTTCTGAAAATTTCAATGAAGCTAGCATTATTAGCGTTGGATATATTACAGGGAAAATGGCAATTTTAATCCCAAAAATAAATTTAATAACACTTGGCATTTTAATACTCCTCTGGTCCTTAATATAAGACCCATTTAACTAATTTGATTAGATTAAGGAAGTTAGGTAAGTTAGTTAATTATAAAAAAAGTAACACATTTTTCCCAAAATACCATAATCATCTTTCTTAATACCCCCTCTCCCTCTTCTACTTGATTATGGGTGAGAGAGTATCTATAGGGGTAATTTAGAGAAAACTGATAAATATGAGAAATGGGTCTTATATTTAGGACCAAAACCAACTTAAAAATTGGGTCCTATATTAAGGACCGGAGGAGTAATATTTTGTTAAAAGATGAGTTGTAAATATCAATTCATACAGTGGTCAATATGAGAGTCAATTGGACATTCAAGTTCTTATAAGTCACTTCAGCAGATTTGCAATTGAAACTCTCATGTATGATTGCATTGATATTTTCAACTCGTTTTTTACTAAATTTTTTTAGATCTGACTGCTTCTAAATTCATCTTTTGAGATTTAAGTGTTATGCTATCTATAGCATGTACTTCAAAAGAAATTTAATATGCTTGTGCTAAAAAAATAATTATTAAAAACTTGGAAAAACTCATAAACAGTTCTTTTCCGTAACCTTCTTCATGTTTAATCAAAGTCAACTCATTATTATCTGTGTGAGCTTGCCATGTTAGCAAACGACGAAAACCCCCACAATCTTCCACCTGATCGTCCGATGGATGATGAAGTGGGGACAATAAGGGGCAATCAGAGTGACTCGAGCATGCCAGAGGATTTGGGAAATAGGATTGAGGAGCCTAAACCTCCAAAAGAAACTAAAGGGAAGGGGAAATAAGAGATAAATTCCGGAAAAGGTAAGTTCCAGAGGAAGGATGGGTGCTTCACAGGGGAAGTATCATCGATAACCAGGGCTGAAGAATGGATGGATGCAGGTGAGGAAATGATGGAAAATAGAACAAAGAAAATGCTATCCTACAGGGAAGTTTTGAAACCAAGGTACGTCAATGAAGAACCAAAAAGGAATTCAGGCAACCAAAAAGAGTAGTGGGATGGATGCTTACTCTCTCTAGATCCGGAAGAAATGGAGAAAGGAATCAGCATTAAGGAATCTGAAGGGAACATAGCCATTGAGTTTGCTGAGGAGGAGAAACGAATATTGGCCAAAGAATGGGAAAATTCACTCATCATAAAACTGCTAGGAGGGACGATTGGATTTATGCCACTACGAAGGAAGGTGCAACTGATGTGGGGAAAATCTAGGAAAGTTGATCTCTCAGATATCGGGAATGGATATATGATTGCAACCTTCCAAGAGCTGGATGATTACTACTTTGCTTTGGAAGGAGGCCCATGGATGATCTAAAATCACTATCTTACTGTGCAAACGTGGAAGCAAAATTTCAATCCATGGGCTGAGAAAATACATAAAGTGGCGATATGGGTAAGGTTACCGGGGCTCCCAGGAGATTATTATGATAAGAAATTTTTTTATCATCTGGAAAACAGAATCAATAAAGCTATAAAAGTTGATGAGATGACATTAACAAAAGGGAGAACTATGTATGCTAGAATGTGTGTGGAGGTGGATTTACACAAACCCTTGCTCCCAACTTACACAATGGATGGAAACTACTTAAAGGTGGAATATGAGGGTCTTCATTTAATTTGTTTTGCTTGTGGCAAATTCGGCCATGCGACAGATCACTGCCCAGCTCGACGAAAGCAAGAAGGAACACCAATTAATGAAGAGACCAACAAAGAGCAGGAGAATGGCAGAAGGAAAGGCGCGTCACCCACAAAACCTCTAGAGTTGGAAAAATCACCAAAAAACACCTACAGAGGTTGGATGATAGCACAGGATTCAAGGAGAGGACGAAGGGTAGGAGACCGAGGAGGAAAAGTAAGAACATAGACAAAAACGGCTGAAAAGACAAGAAAGGAAATAGGGGTCAACTCAGATGATAATGGAAACTTGGTTGCAGGGGATTTTAACGACATAAGAAACAGATCAGAACGAAGAGGTGGTGGAGAAATACAGGAAAGTAGATGTAGAAAGTTTGAAGACAATATAAATAAATGCAAGTTGATAGAAATAGCCTCAGAAGGGCCCAGATTCACTTGGAGGGGACCCATTGTACACCCAGTGTGCAGACTGTATAAAAAGCTAGACCGTGCGTTATGGAATGACAGCTGGAGAAATGAATTCAATGATGCTACGGTAAGAGTGGGACCAAGAATCAATTCTGACCATCATCCTCTGTTCATAAAAATACTGAATGAAAAAGGAAAGAGGGAAGCCCGGCCATTTAGATTTGAAGCCGCTTGGTTAACACATGATGACTTCAAGAGGAACTTGAAAGAACATTGGACAGGGAATAAAGATATTTGGCATGAGTTACAGGATCTAGAAAAAAATCTGAAAGATTGGAATATCAACACTTTTGGTCACATAATGACGAAGAAGAGAGAGCTTATAAGAAGAATTAACGGGATCCAAAGAAGCAAGCAGAATTATTTCAATTAGAAATTAGAGGACTTGGAGAGAGACTTAATAGAAGTATTAAACCAAATTCTGCAAAGGGAAGAAATGTTGTGGTACTAGAAAGCCAAAACTAAGTGGATGAATGATGGAGATAGAACACAAGATACTATCATACCAAGACCACAATTAAGAGAAGGAGAAATAGGGTGACAATGCCGAAAGATGAAGATGGAAATTGGGTAGAAGGGAAAGAGACAGTGGGTGAAGTGATCAATAGCTTCTTCCAAAAGCTCTTTACGGAGGAAGAGATGGACAGAGGATGGATTTACACAAAACACTCTTGGCCAGAAGTAGCAGACAAGGAGTGGCAGCAATTAAGAGGGAGAATAAATGATGTAGAAATCAAAGAGGCCATTTTCTCAATTGGAAGTTTAAAAGCACTAGGGGAGGATGGCTTTCCTGCCATTTTCTATAAAAAAAAAAACTAGGAAATTGTGGGAGAAAGCGTGTGTAAAGTGGTCAATAAAATGTGGAAGGATGCAAAAGAAATCAAGAAAAGGTCAGTCAGTTTAGACCAATTTCTTTGTGTAATGTCATATACAAATGCCTAACAAAAATCCTGGTCAAGACATTAAAGCGGTTGATTACCAAAGTTGTTTCTCCACATCAAGTAAGTTTTGTGCCTGGAAGGAACATCCATGATAATATTATCATTGTAAATGAAATGATTCACTCGATGAGAAAGAAAAGGGGGGAAAAAAGGCTTCATGGCAATCAACATTGACTTAGAGAAGGCCTATGATAGAATAAACTGGAGATTTATGGGAAATGTCTTAGAGGAATTGAAGTGTCGAGATGAGGTGATTGAAAGAATTATGGAATGTTTGTCTCCTACTTCAACAAAAATCCTATAGCATGGAGAAAAGCTAGAAGCTTCCAACCCCTCTAGGGGAATTAGGCAAGGCGATCCCATTTCCCCTTACCTCTTTATGCTCGGAATGGAAAAACTCACACATATGATTCTAGATAGAGTGAGAGAGAAAAAATGGAAAGGAATCAAAGCGGGCCGAAATGGTCCGTTTATCACTCACATGATGTTTGCTGATGACCTCGTGCTCTTCACAGAGGCTAATACTAATCAAATAGATTTAACTGTTGATTGTTTGTAGGAATTTGGAGCTGTTTCTGGGCATAAGGTGAGCACGGAGAAAACACAAATATACTTCTTGGCGAATGTGAATACTAGCACAAAAAAAGAGATATGCAGAAGAAGCAAATTTAAACAGGTGGAAGAATTGGGGAGATACTTAGGCGCTAATATTACTTTCCCACTTAAGAGAAAAGAAAAATGTAGTAGCATTGTGGAAAGGGTGAAAAGAAGACTAAGTGGATGGCAAACTGCAGCTCTTTCCTTAGCAAGGAGAATGACTCTAATGAAATCCATCACCAGCTCAATGGCACTGTATCCGATATAGCATGACACACTCCCAAGAGGGGTTGTTGAGGAAAATAGAAAGAGTCCAGAGAGGATTCATATGGGGTGACCAAGGAAAAACAACGACGTTGGCATGCCATAAATTGGGAAACCTTAGGTAAACCAAAGGAACAAGGGGGGCTGAATATTAAATCCTTAAAGTT